ACTTATCGAAGTACATCTTAATCGAATATAGTTGGAATTTTGGAACTTCTTGAAGGCTTCATGTTTTATTCGTACGTTATGCTGACGTAAAAACGCTTTAAAGTGGGAAATGGAAAAACGAATGAATATGAATAGCTTATCGCGAGATTATAGTTACTTTGAAAGTGTGCTTTGCACAACGTGGTTTGCAAACCACGCGGCAGTTACGATTGTGACATAGACTGTGTCTGTTCGTTCCTCGCTGATAAGGAAATTTTTGCACCCAATCGTCCCGATATTTTCCCAATTTTACAGTCGCGTATCGATCCTCGAGGCATGAGTTTCGCTTCGTCTGGAATTGATAATCTCGTCATGAAAATGGTAAGAGTTTCCTAAATATCTCGACAAATATTCGCACATATCAACTTATCGACGCTTATAACTAGTTTTATGTACACACGATTGTTTATCTATTTGTTTAAAATATAATTTTCTAATTTTCCAGAATAAACAATTTTGTTCAAAAATAGGGATTACATGCAAAGCTGTTTTGCATTGTTTACATGCAATCAGATTTTTAGTTTACTGTTTTCATATAATATGTGATATTTTTCTCGTCAAAATTTCATCAGACACGCTATTTATTCTTATTTATAAAAAATATTAAAAATCTGTTTCATTATTTTTTAACCACGTAATACATTTGGGTCGTTCAGAAGAAAACATGTCAATGTGTTCTTTTAGAATTAGAGTAGACGTTAGAATAGCATGAGTTAAAATACAAACAAGCTGCATATAAAGTGTTCTTGATAATATATTTAGAAATTGATATTACATTTCAAATCTTCAATTCAATGTGTCAATATAAATTGGCACTGAATTTTCGATAAGGTTTGCATCGTAAAAAATATTTTAAATGCCAGAGTTCTCTTTGAACAAGATATTGCTTCTGTCAAATTAGGGACTTGACGATGAATCTGACGATAAATCGCTCTGTTCGCAGACATCTTAAGAATTCAAGCGTTCGATCGAAACTTGCGTTTGATAAAGTATCGTGTGCAATGTTTCATAGTGCGTTTGATAAAGTATCGTGTGCAATGTTTCATAGTGCAATGTGTACCGGACAAATCGTAAACAGAATTGATTAAAGTGAGACATATTCTTTGAATGGAATCGTTCCAAGTTCAGCTGGTGGGTGTCGTTTGAAGTGGCATTTATACTTGAGAGAGTCCTCGTCCTTGTTAATATAAAACGTCACTACATCTCGAATCGCTCACATGATTACATCAATAAAACATTCTAATAGAATTAACGAATGCATTTCACGACTGTAAAAGATATTCGAGATTATATCGAGATTTATGATAAAATAAGAGGCGATTTATTTCTTTGAGAAATTTTTTTTAGTGTGCCCTTAATTTTCAATATTTTATAGAATGAATGTTCTTTAATATTCTTTCTTTTTATCATAATAACGATTGTATACACGACAAAAATCTCTTGTCTAGTGATAGAAATAATGTTTGAATTGTTAGCTACAAATAATTTCATGACTAGTGGATAATATAAGTGAGTTACACGTGTATCGTTTCTGTGGGTCAATCACTTTGTCTAAAGTAATAAAGTTACTTGAAAATTGCTAACGTGTGATCAGTGACTATTCTTGGTCGATACATATGAAAAAAGTGCAATATTGCCATAATAAATACCGTAAAAATAAACTAATCGATCATTTTTCTGCTGATAAATTATTATGTACACAATGATTAGCAATCGAAATTTAAAACGTTTGTAAAAAAAGAAGCGCAATCACAAATTGTTTTCCTCTGCTTTTACCAATCAGCTTTACGATCACGGAAGTCTTTCATCACCGCTGACCACAAGAAAATTTTTTATACTTATTCGCATCAAAAAAAGAAGACACCTTTTGAAATCGCTGATTAGCTCGACAATTTGTCGATAGAAAGTTTCAATATTTGGTGCAAATAAGAATATTGAAAATATTCAGTAATTTGTGGTATTAGCAAAAAAAGAGTTTCGATTCTTCTTCAATAATAAAAATAACAAAAATATAACAAAAATAACGAGCGCGAAGAATTACAAAATTCAAGAATTACAAAATTTATATATAAATTAAAGATCTATAATAATATAATAACTAATAAAAAACTAATAAATAACTAATAAAAAAATAGATACATTTTTATATAAAATTGCGCGTGACTACTTTATTATAATAGTAAGAAAAATCAAATGCTATCTTAACATCTTCTATATGAATAATTAATTTATATTTGTTTAATTTCATTATCCATCGCATTGAAAAAGAAAGAGAGAAAGAGAGAGAGAAAGAGAGAGTCCGTTATTTAAAATTTATTAATTTTAATACTGGATATAATTAATAAATCCTTCAGGTAGGCACCTTCATCAACTTTTATAGATATTTCCTTCCAAGGATTCAAAAGTTCTAAAAATATATTTCATTCTGAGGGAAATTAATTTTTTCCAACACAGGTAACAGCTGTAATATTGCAAAAACGATACGAAAACACTCTTTTCATAACTTTACTTTCAAATCACTCAAAATTGTGACAAAATGGAATCCTTTGTATTCAAGCATAAAATGACAAAAAACTTAATTCTTCTCTCGCAAGGTCTTCCTTTTTACTCTGTTGTACCATACAAAAAATGGAATAATAACTGAATAAATCGTCTATTGTTGAGTCGCGGAACTTTTTAAACACACGCTAATTGTAAGTACGAGCGTAAAAGGACCGACAGATGTGGGAGGAAGGAATGGTTCGAGACTCCTACGGCGTGGATGTGAAATGAACAGCCGGAGGAGACAGGACTGGCTGCTGCAGCCATGGCCGAACGAGGCCGAACGTCTCGAACCTTCCATGGACGAGACTGCGCTGTCTGAACCCACCTATCTCGACGAGAATTCCAGGACGGAATAAAGACGACGAATGTCGCTCGGGTTCGCCGGTTGTTCAGCGTTCATGCGTCTCGTGACGTAATCCTCTAATCGGAAACAGAGAGATAGTTATTCGCGAATCCAACAATTCATATTTCAGAATTACAAGCAATTCCGTGTCATCCTCTAGAGCAGAATTTTTACATGTGTAGTTATTCGATAGAAACGAAGGCACTCTCTGTTCCAAGTATAATTTTCTTACCAAGTTTATAGCAAAGCCTTTAGATATTTTTGAAATTGCTTTGAAACATCAATATGAGATATTTATTCTTCAGAAGAAATTATCAATTAAATATGTGGAAAAATAGGTACTAGGGAATCTGCAAGTATTTTTGCATTAAATTTATTTTGAAATTTGTACCTCAATTATTATGGAAAATGCATGCGTATGTTTTATACGAATATTTCAAAACAATGAGTACTTATTAATTCCTGAATAAAAGTAAATTAAATGAGAAAGAGAGATACACACATACACATACAATGTCGGCTTATTTCGTAAATTATCTCGTGTGAAATCGTATAATGGTATATGCATTAATGATACAATTTTAATGACAATTGAAAAGCACGTGCACTCGCTCAAAAATTACTTTATATATTATAACGAAGATACTTTCTCATTTATTTGCTAAGTAATATATTAATAAGAATATTTGTCAAAGAACGATTTTTTTTATTCTTATTTTTACGATAGAAGACAAAATTTTTTAACGAAACATGCATATAAAGATAAAATGATATTCTTTGTACAATTTTAAATAGAGCATTTAAATATCAATATCGCAGAGTTTCGAGCGCAAAACAAAATTTTCTTTAATATATTAGATATATTAAATATATATTATATATATTAAATTATAAATGGAGATTTAATGTTTTAATTTGTTTTTATATATATATGGATACTTTTTTATAGTATCTCGAAATGTATAAATAAACGAAAATATAACGTTTTAAATATAACATTTTCAAACATACTTCATGACGCGGTTTTTAGTATAAACACAGATGTTCACACGAAAGGTGATAAAAGGATACTCATTTTAGAAAATCTTTTTCAGTGAAATATTCTCGAAATTAAAAACGCATTAATAAAAAACGCATTAGTGACCAATTCAAGATTCGAAAAACGTGAAAAATTCATCAATGAATTGTACAAAATAAATTCACGTTGCATCTTATATTTCCCAAGTTATTTCTAACTAGATAATATAACATTATAAAAAAATTAATTTTATATAATTAAAATTAAAACATCCTTCACTTATCAATAACATTTGATATTTAAGGATTATCATATCTCGCAATTTTATCTTTATTCTTACACCGGAAAACTGAAAGAGACATTTAAAATATTTTCACAATCTTACAAGATCAGATCAGATAAAAATTAATCCATTAAGCATTCATTCAAACCAAATATAAGACTGGGGTCAGATCGACAGGTTTACGATCACTAGATAAAAGTGGATTCTTTGACGCTGGGAACTTCAAACAAGCCGAAAGTGTTGGCGAAAACGTTTATTCGCGCAAATTAAAGAAAAAATACATATCATTTATCCTTTCGAGCAATTTGCTTTTCAATCACCGTAGAAATAAAAAAAAAATTCAATCGCGCGCCGATGAAAGCGTAAAGCGGTTCAAATGAAAGAAGACGCGGGCCAAATTTCGAGCGAGCGCGCAAACAGATTTAACTTAACTTAACGTCTACCCCCCCCTGGGTTATGTTATGTCGAACGCTGACGCAACCCGGCGCTTCGTTTTATAGACGAGCGTATCTCCGGTATTGCGGTTTGCCGGTGCGTAACCCGCACCGTGTGTCTCACCGATCTGCGATAATTCCGCGGCGCAGCCGCGTCTCCCTTTCCCTCCCGCCCTCTCCTCCCCTCGCCCCTCTTCCCTAACCCCTTTCATCCCGCCGCGCCGCGACGCCGCGCGTCCATCCCCACGCGCGCCCGAGCGCGAGAAGGCGGCGCTTATCCTCGCAGCGACGTGTATATAAAAGAGACAAACCCCCCGAACCGATTAGCAAAGTTCCCCAAAACACACGTAACACACCATACTTTTGCATGCCGACCGATCGTGAGACGACGACGGGACACGCGAGAATCGAGCACGAGACCCGAACGACAACAAATCTGCATCTCTATCAGTGGAAAAACGACGAGAGGGAGAGAGAGAAAGAGAGAGAGAGGAGAGATCGAGATCCTTGAACCCGGTTCTCGCACACGACAGCCGGATCATCGGGAATTCGGCGACATCCGTCACCGAGTCGCAAGCTAAGCACAGACGGGAAACATCACATATGTCGTGATACGAGATAGGACAGTGACGTACAAACGGACAATTCGCGACACGAGGGAGAACGACGAGGTCTCTCTCGAGTATCCATTCGTGAAAAGGAATCCGTCTCGCGCTACGAGACCTCCTTCTTCCCGTAATCCTCCTCGAATCGCGTACACGAGGACGAGCTGTGGTGCGGTTACAGGTGGTGAACGTTGAAAAAAATACAGAGATACTCCCAGACGACGCGACAGGAGAGAGAGAGAGAGAGCGAGAGACAGACTAGAGAACCCGTCACATTTTTAGATCGGCGCCTTTCTAGTCTCCCTCGCATCGCGCGTTCCTCCGAGGGTGCGTAATACAGGGTCCGCAATACACCAAACGCTTTCCCGCACGCACCACGCACGCACGCAACGGCGCAGATACGTTAGTATCGAACGCGATCGATCGCAAGAGGCGCTTCACGGGGGAGAGAAAGCGCGACAAGGACGACGACGCGGCGTCCTGTCAAAAGTCGCCGTCCGTCACAGGCGCAGCTAGAGAGAACCCCATCGCTGTCACAACAGAGCCACGTGTGATCATCTGGCTGTGACACACACGCGCACGCACGACACCCGCTCGCGCGCGCGCGCGCGCGCGCTCACGTACGCACCTGTGTGTATCACCTACGCACGCGTTCGCCGAGCGATCGACGCGCACTGCACGCGCCGGCATCGCGCATCGGACGAGACGAGAGAGTCGGCGCGACCTCTCCGCGTTTCATCGGCGTCACCCGCGAGGGGCACAAACGGAAGCGTCTCGACTCGCCGGCGAAAGCAGCCGATTTACGGCGTCGAGGCACCAGGCTTCCTAACGACGACGACGACAACAACAACAGCGGCGATTGTACAGAAATAAGGGCAACGCACACGCGTATTCACGTCAAAGTGCGTGAGAACGTGGACGACGAGCGTCATCGACCCGCTTCTTTTTCTCGTCTACGCTTATCGAAAGGAAGGAAGATGCCCGGCTCCCAGAGGAGACAGATGATGCAGCCATGGCCCCTGTGCCTGGCGCCCTTCGCGAGAACGAAGGTAAGCCCACCCCCGCGCGCGTGCACGAGCCCTCAACCCCAAGGTTGCCTTCTCCCCGCGGCCGCTGTCTGGTTTCCAGGAGCCGGCTGCCGGTCTCCCGTTCGACGACGATCACCCCTCGCTCGCTCGCTCATCGAACCACCGAACGTACATACATACATGCGTACGCACACATGCACGATCGTTCTCTTTCTCTCTCTCTTTCCCGTTCTCCGTCCGCTACCTCCCCCACCCTTAGGCCCCTGGAAATTTCCACTGCACCGGCGGCAGGCAGGCGTCTGCCTCGATGGCATGTTTCTTTTTTTTTCTCGCGGCTTTCCGGTCGCGAACTCTCTTTTCCCGTTCCTGTTCTCTGATATCGCCGTCTCTCTCTACCTTTCCTTTCTTCATCCCCTCCCCCCCTCTCCTCCAACTCGTGTCATTGTCTACGGATCTCGACTTGTCTCTTCACTCCGTCCAGATTCCGCGATTCGCAAATTTTCAACCGCTGGATCGCGAACATGGAGCGGGAGGGGGAAGGGGATGAAGAGATATAAATCATATTTTTTTTCGATTGAAAAAATATGAAGCTAATTTACAGAGAAATTTAACATAGGAAATATAATACATAAATATAAATATAAATTATATATATTTATTAAATTTATAAAAGAAATGTTAAATTTAATATATACGTATTTCTTTAAAAATATGTATCTAAAATTTTTCAATTAATTTATTTCTCATAATTTCTCGTAATTTTTCTGTTTAACGATTCGCGATTTCTTTCCCTGCCCATTTTTTTGCGTTGTTTTTGCGCTTGTTTCGTGCCTGTAATTCCCGATTATCACTAGGAAGGATATTTAAATGAGCGAGAATCGCATATTGGCATGTCGAGAGTCACGGTCTAACGATTCTCCCGATCACGAAATCGCATTACATTATTACGTGTTCTAGCGATGAGGAAACGCCCGAGATTTTACGTTATTATCGTCCGAATCGATTTTAGTCACATGCGTACATTTTTGACAAATACATCGTTCATCAAATTTGTCGAGTTGTTTCTCTGTCTCTTCGTTTGCAAAATTAGGGAACAATAATGCAAGTGATAGACGTGAAAAAATTGTCGATCGATAGGAAAACCGGTCCAATTTCGCCGAATTCGAAAATTTCGATTTAATTGTCCAAAAACGTAACAAAATTCGTGTGGCGAAAACAAGTCCTTGTCTGAGGGCGTCTCTGAAATTCTCTGAAATCCTCTGAAACGCGAAATCTAGACTCACTGAAATTACAGCGATTCAGATTAAAGGTCGCGAGAGACTCGATCGCGAAACTCTGCCATTTCAATCCGGGTATTTCGCGGCGATTTTCACCGGTGATCGCGGGAGATGACCAACAACGTGCCTCTCTTGGCATACGAGTTGCGGCTCTCCTCGCTTCGCGGAAATATCGATCGAATGCGCGCGCACGGTACAGGTGAAGCCGATGCACGTATCCAAATAATCAAATGAAACGACGAGTTATTCGAGGAACGTAAGCTCGTGGACGATATATGCTTTACAACAAAAATTTATATATGATTTGAAAAGAAACGAAATAAAAATTGTTAATTTTCTGGATGGGAAAAATCGCGGCGAGGTAGACATTCCCGGAGTGTTTACACAGGGTGTTTACACATATACGTTCGAAGTTATGTAATGTACGTACGAAGGAAATTTCCGAATGTGTCGGATGACGGCGCGAATATTTTTACGAATATTTTTACTTATTATTTTACGAGAGATAAGAGAGACACACGAGGAAAAGTGTGGGAGAAAAGGTGTTGCTGTTTTTCTATAGTTGGAGTAAGAAGCCGAGGAAGTGAGGAACTTTCCATTTTTTTGCTTTTATTTAGCGAACTCGTGAAAATATTAATTATTTCGCATTTGAATTATAATTTCACGGATATCCCGTACTCGCGATTTAAAAATAAACGATTGTCAGCGTCTCGTCGCGTTTCGTCGGAAAAGAAAACACGTGGATCTGTCAAAAGTTAAAATTCAAACGATTTTCGAGAATTTATGCGTTACACGGAATAACCGATTTAGATTGAATCTTGGATGAAAACTGTCGATCAGTCCTGGGCTTTATACGCAAATAAATTTATTGATTTTTACTTAGCTTACATTTTTCATCTTATTTGTATGATTGACCTAATTATGTCTAGATTTATATTCACTTATATAAATAGACAAATAATATATTTCTAAATTATTTTCTTCCTTTTGATTTGTCATCAAGTAATATCTTCATATTTCAATCAATATTGATTGGCAAATATATAATATAATAATTTTATATTTTTTAATAAATTATACTTGTATATTTTTGCTTAAATAATTATATATCAACAAAATACATAATTAAATAATTTAATAATTTAATTTAATTAAGATTTAATTATCGACATATTAAGTAAAGAATTGTCTTTAGAGTAATTTATATCGATATATTAAAATAAATCAAAATTTCTAAAAACGTTACTTTTTGCTGTTCATCATCAAAATAATAAATTTTGGGATATATTTTTATCTTTCGTATATTGTAAATAATAATATAATTGCCCAGCTCTGTTCTTGTTATAGCATCATCAAGTTTATTCCGATCGTCGTTCATCTCGAACTCTTTCCTGGGATTGAATAATCTGTCATTGTGTTCATAGATCACACCTTCCAGATGGCTCGGTGCTTATCTACCTAAGGATACAGTATCGAAAGAAAAATATCGATACCTGACTTATCGGAAGAAATCACATTTATATCAAAATAGAAGTATCGATAATAACAGAGAAAGAGAGAAAAAAAAAAGATATCAAGAAGTACCACGCAAAATTTATTCCTTTCAACGTTCACATCTCTCGTGTTCATTTTTGTTCGTAATCTTACGATTACGAAACAGAATCAATAATAAGTTTCTTAACGCTTAATTTTAACGATTGAAAATTACTGAAATATAAAATATTTATAGCTATAAATTCTCTTTGACTTGCGAGAAAATTTGCATTTAAAGAGCAACGTTTCTCTGAAAAATAGTACAAATATAGAAAATTACATTCCTTATTATTTACATTTCAATTCGATTATGTCAGTTCCAGTTTTTCGACACAAAATAACATTAAACAAAATGTCGAATAGAAATGAAATATGCATACATATATATATATATATTAATAAAACATCGATACTCTCTTTCTCTCCGAATCTCTTTCATCCTCCTCATCGCACACTTTTGTAACGTTGATAGAAAGCATCAATAAATCATTTTTGACGAAATCCGACTTGGTCATTAACTCTCGAAACTGCTCGGATCCCGTTCCCGTGTCACACGCGACGCGGTGCAAAAATCATTCATTGCGAGTCGAAGGAGAGCCAGAGCTACGAGACTTTATCGACATTCAAACACATTGCATCTAATTGCCACAACTATACTACCGATGTACGCTTGGCGTGGCTCAAGGTGGACAAGAATTAAGATAATATTATACATTGCCAATTTTATTTCTACGCCACATATCTTCGCGTCTGAAATATCAAGGCCGACCGGAAGATCCGTAAAAATATCATCGGCGCCGTGTATACGATAAAATTTATGGATGCAAAATTTCTTATTATAGATTCTCCGTTTGAAAAACCATTCATTGTCGCAAGTGAAAGTTCGATGCACGCTTTACGTCGGAAGACGGAGCGAAAAAGTACAGGAAGCATGACACACTTTACAGCGTTCTTTAAAACTACACATCGCGAGTTTGAAGATATTAATTTCTTGATCGACCTAAAAGCAAATCTTGCTCTATGAAATTTTCCGATGACAGATCATTAATCATAATTTTGAAGTTTTTTTTATCGCGAATTTATAAAAATTATTATAATAGCTCGAAGCAACGTGCGGCTTTTCTTTAATCGAATGAGCGGAATTTACGAGTAAGAAAAGATGCGATAATATTGTGAGACTCGATTGTTAATTAGGCATATTGGCTTCTCGATGCGACTTTGTACCGATGGATAGTTAATTAAAATTCAGTAATCGCGTTATTACCGACTCGGCTCGCAAAGTACGAACGTATATTCTTCACATTTACTCTTCCTTGTCGATCTATCGACAAAACGTTGAGCGTTTTGCTCAAATGCAAGACGGGTTGCTGCCTTATAAGGAATAGACGTACGTATGAATTCGGATACGTTGCACAAAACATAGGACAACTGCATGATAAAAATTGAAATAATCGATGAGAAAAAAATCTGCAGGATGAAATTGTGGCGCAACTCATAATAACTCGTGCATAAATTGAAATTAATGAATTGGACAAATAATTATAACATCATCTTCTGCGTAAAAATATTAATAATTTCAATAATAATTTATTTTACGGTTGAAAATTCGATTTAAATGATTTCCAAAAAGAAACTATCCATTGCTACGTTTTTCTTGAATGCTTTAGATATTCTGCAAAAATAAAAAAAGTTTCGTCTATGATCGAAACGTACAAATAATGAATGAAGAGACGCCAATAAAATAATGCAACAATAATATCATTTTTAAAAATGAATAGCATCAAGGAGAGGGAGGGAGAGAGAGAGAGAGAGAAAGAAATTAATCTACGAGGTAGATATTCCATAAGATCAATTCATCGATATTTTAATTTCCATCTGCATGATGTAGAGGATATTGCACGTAAAATAACCCAGGAATTTCGCGTATTCTGCGAATATTGCAAAATAACGTTTGACGTACATAATTTTAGCGTTCAAGATACACGAACGTTTTTCATCATCGGACGAAATGTTTTCCGATGCACTCGTCTGGATCATTTCACGCAGGAACATTCGGTACCCGGACACATCGCACTGCGATTTCACGTGTTGCAGAGATTCCGCGGATAATAGTCGTCGAGTAAAATAGGAAATATATATATATAATAAGATTTGCACGCGCGTGTCTAGATAAAGTCGAGATCTAGATCGTATATTCGTCGAATAATGACA